AAAAAAAAAAATGTTTTCAAAACCTCTATGCATCGACTCAAACAACAAAGTTTTTAAACTTCATGCATACAAAGTTGGATTGGCTCAAGAGCTCACTGCAGCCCGAAGACAATGGGCAACGAAGAGCCTTTGTTTAGAAAGAAGACCATCTGTGGTGATTGGCCGCAAGCCGCAATGAAGATTTCGAACTCCACCAGTGATTATTGGCAAACAGATACATCCAAAAAGAGTCACTGTTTGGTGTGCATTGTGGGCTGGAGAACAGTTGTGGTGTCAGGACGATGATGCAGTACAGTCGGAGTAACTCTTTAATTACTGCACAAGTCATTTCCTGGTCGTGTTATTTCTGGTTTTGGAGATCGGCATTCGCCGCCCAAATGGTACGATTTGACGCCTTTAGACGTTATTCTTTATAGTAGCATTCGTCTTTTATCCTTGAAAATTTTGTGAAAAGCGCACTTCTGTTTATTAATAGGTTCCAAACCGATATGAAATGTTCGTAGAATATAACGGAAAAATGTCTACCTGAAAAGTGACTTAAACACCATTGGACTGTAGCAATATTTACAAAAAAATTACTACTGGCAGATTGTGTTAAATCAGTAAGTGTGCAATAATTAAGTCAATTTAAGTACCTGATACATTTTTGGAAGTTCGTCTTGGTACTTTAAAAGATTGCAAAGCGCCAAAGATTTTCGATCATCTGTGCATTCGGTTTGTAATGGATCTTGCTTAACTTTATTGCAAAAGGGGTGGGTTGAAAATCCTCTAAAAAATAAGTTCCTTCCTTCGGTTCCATGGCGTATAATGAAAAGTAAAATGCTTACTTAGATGATTTTATGTTCATCCACTCTTTACAACTTTTCATAGCAAAGTCGCACCCTAAGTTTTTACCCCACGACATATCTTCTGCCGTTGAATAATTAGCTATATACCAGCCGGTATCTTCCATAAGTGCTAATGTTATTCGAGATATGATTGGGTTTTGAGTATGAGTCCCAGTCATTGCTTCATTCTAAAAATAGCTAGCATAATGTATTTTGATGAATGTGAAACAGTTAGCACATTTACCTCAAAAACCCGCTTTTCCCAATGGGTAAGAACCGTTCCTTCCTCTCCTTGATCTTCAAGTTCAGCCCCTTCGAGTTCAGTACAGTTAAAATATTCTCGGACTTCTTGAACTACATTTGGTGTTACCATAATTTGAACTTGTTTCTTAATATAGCCATGCCCTACTAGCCAATGTCGGGTAACTGTTTTAATTACTTTTTCACTCCATTGGTAAGTTTGTAAACTGTATAATGTAAATCGTCGTCATTATTTAAAGAAGTTGAACCTGAATATTTGGTTTCACTTACAATTCATTTAAAGCGGGTTTGCCAGTTTCCGGACTTCGCTCAGTTAGAGGATTTCCTTCGCTATCCCGAAAAAATGCATAAAGACTAATTGAAAATCCCAATGCATGCAAAATTTCGTGTTTCACCGTTGAAAGTAGAACCTCCAGGTTGGTACGACTTGTACTAATACTATTAGGACATAAATTAGCATGCCCTGCTACTGGTCTGAAAATAAATTGAACATTTGGAATGTTATGCGCACCAGGGAGATGGTTTGGATTTTTGTAATCTTTACTATAGTACTGCATAAAGTGTTCCTAAAATCCAAGCAATTTGTATGTGACCAGTCCCCGTACTTTTCTGGAATATTTTTCCTCATCGGGGCCCTGATTTAGATTTATTTTCATTTGTCGAAACAACCTTATTTTTATTAGAATCATCAGAGTCGTTCCATCGCAGGCATAGGGAGTGTTTACGCTGTATTGTATTATTATTATTATTATTAGGCAATAAAGATGGCATTTTGGTGACCTTTTGAAACCAGTGATAATGGAATGAATCCGTGCAGTAAATATTTTAAATCTTTTCGTGTGTAACGCTACCTTTTAGAGCCGACGCAAGCGGAGTTTGCACATAAATCCTTACAGATTCAAACGCAAAGGGTCATTTTAAATATCTGCTTTTGTTTAAAAGTTAAAAGTGGCCATTCTTGGTGACGTCAGAGTAGTTGGGCCTTAACTTGCGGTGGTGGCGATAGCACTGACGCACGCAACGCTTTATTGTTATGCAAAAACAAACACACGCACAAAACAACAAATCATAAAACATTCTTCAGCTGATTACCACCAAGACATGGCGACGAATTATTTGAAATTGAGTTGAAGAACAGCGTTGTCTAAGCCTTAACTTTAGCTATGCGTGAACGAGAATGCTTCATACCACTCTCGGATAAAGCCAGACTCCAAAAAGTCCAAACACTGACAGCAAAAGGCGGATATAGTCAAATTTATGGAAAGCAAAGGCATGCAAATACCTTCTATACCACAACAATTTTGAGACATTTTTTTAAAATGAATAGGTTATCGACAATTATTTTGAATCATGTCTTACGACTTCGATTCATACTATTGTCCTGTTAATCCCATTGAAATAGCCCGCATCGCAACCCGCACAATTGCGAAGATTTTGAGAGAAAAATTGATTTACGGAAGATACTTACCTGAGGCAGACATACCTAAATAAATAAACAATGAACTAAATATGTTCGGATCAGTAAAATAAATTAAATTAATTTACCAAGTAAAACACGTTTTTCCCATGTCCATGTTTCACAAAGAATATGCCTACTACTACTCAGATTTAATGTTGATAATCTTTTTTATATGTTACAATTCGAGTAGTCTCGTAAAGCTTTAATACACTTTAATATTAGTGTATTAAAAGTATATACACAGAGTAGTGCCCGAAGGGCTCGGCACAACAAATACACTGGACTCTAATGCGATTTTTGCACTGCACTCTAATGCGAAAGAACTTAAAAAAGAGCAGGTTTATAGTAATTTTGCGTGTTCAAATCGTGCTATAATCCAATATATTTCTTGTGCCGAGCCCTTCGGACACGACACTTATTTCAGGGCACAAAATAAACAAAGTGATTTTTCGAATTCAAATCAGTGTCGTGCCCGAACGACTCGACACCACAAATGCAATAGACTGTAATGCGATTTTTGCGCCGAGTCCTTCGGACACGACACTGATTTAGTGGCAAAAGTTGAAAAATGAGCAGGTTTATAGTGATTTTGCGTGTACAAATTGCGCAATAGTCCAATGTATTTCTTGTGTCGAGCCCTTCGGGCAGCCATGCAGCTTCAAAGTGATTTTTCAAGCGAAGAATTTTTCAATGACGAGCTCAACAACAGTTGACTCTAATGCGATTTTTGTGCCGAGCCCGACAGACACGACACTGATTTGAAATTTTTTATTGTTATTTTGATTTGCTATATTTATTTATTTGATCTTTTTTAAGTTATTTCCACTAAATCAGTGTCGTGCTCGTAGGGTTCGGCACAAAAATCGCATTATAGTCTAGTGTATTTGTTGTGCTGAGGCCTTCGAACTCTAAATTCGTCAAATGTTCACGTTTCACATTCAGATCAGTGTCGCGTCTTGAGCAAAAAAATTCGTCGACTTGAGCAAAAAAATTAACAATATTGTATTAACAAGTTTTAACTTGATAAAGTATTAACTTAATAAAGTGCGTTCTTTAAGAGTGAAATTCTCTAATTTTCACTTGATTACACTGAAAATTTTACCAAAATTTTTGCACATTTTAACTGTTTAGGGGAAGTGGGCATAGTTCTCGTTAATACCAATCCGGAACCACTTTCCAACAGCACGGAAGATGTAGAATCAACAGAAAATCATCTACAATGGGACGTAAGTTTTTTTTTATCAATTGCGGGCATTTCCTCAAAGAATCAGGGTAAAATCCAAGTCAAACCGCTCTTAAAACTATTGAGTTTTTCTTTGGGTAGTGAACATTCGCATTATTCCTTCTACAAGAATACTGGGACTCACAAGAGCGGATCCAGGGGGGGGTCATGGGGGTCATGACCCCCCCCC